AGGCCACCACACCCAGCTGCTTAATGCTGCGGAGCTCAGTGACAATGGTCTTCTGGGAGCAGCCCTCCCATCTGTGAGCTACCTTCCAACGAGGGGTGGAGTCCAGGTACTAGTCTGGGACCCCATCACATCCCAAGACAGCAACTGACTTTCAAGCTCCTGACTGTCCCCCGAGTCCCAGTAACCAGAATCCTACACATAAGAAATGTCTGTTCCGCTACCTTGGCTGGCCCTGGTATTGGTTCAATGGAACAGTAGTATGAGATTCTTAGACCAGGTGTCCGAAGACCTCAAGGCTAGGGTCCTTCTAGGCCTGCCACTGTAGCACCAATAATAAAAACCCAGAGACAGATACTGGGGCTCACATTAAAAGATCAGAGAAGCAAAGCAGTCAACCACTGGAGACCTCTTACCTCTACACAAATCTTCAAACTGAAAAGAGAGTGAGCTCTTGTCTCATCCCTAGGCAGGACCCTGGCCTGGCAGACTGCAGGTGTTTAATGCCAGCACACTGAACCACCATAGGGGCTGATAACGGCAACCACCGTCCCTCACATTGCCTTGACCCATAATGCCCATAAATAACACGGGATGTCAATATGGGTGATCTTTTACTTAGCCAATATTTCCAAACAGCATCATTCTAATAGACCACTGGCTAAAAGGACGCTTACTTCTGGGGTCTAAGCCCTCCTGTGTCTTACACGGCTCTGCACTCAGTGGAAGCACACCTGCCAGCAGAGGCCTACAGCCATCAGGCAGTCAGTGACCTTCTGGGGACAGTGTTCCCTGCCCTACAGAAGCCTGTGTGCAATGCCCTGAAACGGCAACCAGTACACGTGCTGAGGAGCCACCCTCCCTCCCCAAGGACCCTCCATTCTCAGGTGACCAAAAAGGGGTCAACCTACCCCCTCCCCAAGGGCCTCAGCTGCTCTCCTGATGTAACATGGGCGACGGCAGGCAGGGGGAACTTTGCTATAGGACACTGTCCCCATAAAAAATCTCACTCAGAAAACCAGCAGGAGTCAGCCGTGGTCTGCTCACGTGAGCGCAGATTAGGGGCGGCCCTTATGCCTGGTCATGTCTGAGACCAGCACATGAAGGGCGGAACGCTGCATGCTGGGGCTGGGGACTACAGAGCCCAGTCGGGGCCAGGTTAGCGGGTCAGGGGCTTTGGGCTCAGGAGGAACTGGGGATCAGGCATGCTCACAATCTTCCTGATGCTCTGAGCTCTTTGGGGGGCTCATGGCATTCCATCTGTCTTTCTGCACCCTTCAGCCTCAACTCTCCCACACTGCCACCTCAGCTTGCCCCCACAAAGCATCTGTGCTCCAAAAACACACTTTCTGCTTCCTGGCCTCGGGGCTTTGGCATATTCTGTCCTCTTGGTCTCCTTCCCTAGGCTCTCCTAGAGGGAAGACTTCGATGGAAGTCCTGGCTTGGTGACGGTGACTGTTAGCAGCTCTTACCCTTGCAAGGGAACCCACATTTCTAGCAGGCTTCCCTGGAATATACAGGCGCCCCACACATACACTCTCACGCCTCACCTCTGTCCCCCCCTCCCATCTCAGGGCACAGCTGGGCTGTACTGAAAAGGCATCACCTCCAAGTTCATTCTCAGTCAACGGAAGAGCCCTGGGCTGCCATCCTCCCTGGAGCCCTGTGGGAACAGTACTGGTCAGGCCAGAGGGCACCAAACATGAAACACCATGTCAGCCGTAGGGAATCTGAAGACTGTCTTGACCCTCTCAAAAGAACAAAAGCCACCAGCACTATCATTGTGCCGGACAAGACCAGTGTCGTGATCAGCATGGGAGTACTGATGAGTGTCCTGGCCATGGAGGTATCCAAGTCACTGCAAACATACTGGGGAAGGAGTGGGACTTTGCTGAGGGGCTTTTCTGTCTTCAGGGGGTTTCACATTTAAGTTTTAGGGCTGGCCCAAGGCCATAGGCAAGGCCTAAAGGGGGCTCTCCCACCGTTTAGACCATTGCGCCTCTGGGGACAATCATTAATTGGCCCAGCTTGAGAGGTCGCTCCCAAGAAAGGGCAGCCCGCAGCGGGGCTTCCCGGTGTATCCAGGCACCCAGCAAGCCTCTCAAAGCAGCCTGTTCACAGTACAGCCTGCTTGTTGATCCTGACTTTCAGCCACTGAGAATATATAGGCAAAGCCCCTGCGGTTCCCGCCCCTGCTCCATCAGCTCGGCCTGTGACCAGAGCTGCCCTGCTTGAGTGCAGCAGGAAGCTACAGGAGGCTAAGGCAGGGCAGCAAGACCCAGGCTGGGCTCCAGAAAGCCTGCCCATCCCAGGGCAGGAAGGGCTAGGGACAGGCAGAGGCTGACCCAACTTGAGGGTGTGGAAAAGCCCCCCAAGAGGGAGGGAGATGAGCTATAAAGAGTATAGCAGAGGGAGAGGCCTTTCAGGCTGCAAAACGAGACAGGAAGGGATCTGGCCTACTTGGGCAGACAGAAAAGTCAAATGGGGCTGGGGGTCTCTGGTGGGAGAAAATCAAGGTGAGGGGCTCTGGGCTAGGAAGGTAACCTTACCTTAGGGCAGCAGACAGCTACAGCAAAGATTAAACACTACTGTTTTTTGTTGCTGGCAATGGATTTGAAACTGGCTCATACAGACTAGATGGGCCAGTAGCTGGCAAAAGTGGGTGTGACAGGGCCCTACTGCAGCACCTTAGCTTAGGAGGTGCTGGGGAATCGAACCCAGATCCTTTGGTGTACTAAGCTAGACCTCGACCCACAGAGCAGAAAGAAATGGACACAGGGTGGCCTCCGTCTGACCCAGTAAATGGGACTGTGGAGGCCAGAGGACATTCAGAGCTTCCAGGGAAGGGTCAGAGAAGAGATCCCAGCAGGAACGAAGGGGTAGAGGGCTAGGGAGTAGAAATGACTCCAGACGGTCAGGTGGGTAGGGGGAGCTGGGGACAGTACATCTGAGGAGCCGGATGCCATGCAGAAGAGCCAAAGTGTCCGTGGACCAGTGAGACTCAGAGCATCAGGCGACAACGAGCTGCCGGGGTAACTGTGAAGACAGCCATCCACGTGTGCCTGGGGGCAGGACCTTATCTAGGGCAGGGCAAGGAACAGCTAGAGGCAGGAGAGAATCCAAGTTGATGAGTCCAGATGCAAGCCAAGGAATGGGAACAGTCAGCAACACAGGTCACTAATGACCTGGACAAGGAGCTGTGTGGACGCCAACAGCAGTGGGCTGGGCATGAGCGAGTCTGCTGAGGACTCCGAAGTGTTCCTGAAGTTCTTCATGCGCAGGCTCTCCCTAGGAGAAGCACCTGAGGCAGGAACAGTTCTCTCAAGAGCAGGGGGCACACATGGAGAAATACAAACTCTTGAACAACAGCGACATTAGCAGCCTGGGCCCCGAGGGTACAAGGAGCAGGAGGGACACACAGGGCAGCACTCCCTCAGTGGCCTCCTTCTGTGGACAGAGCTGTGCCCTTCCTGACTGCTGGTGGGTCCAAGGCCACTTCCTGAGGACAAGCTTTGAAGTTCTTCAGAAGGTGACATTGAGGTAAGGGGACGACTGGGGGGGGGGCAGGGGGAGCAAGACAGCATTGCTCCTGAGAGGACAAGAGAGTCACTGGCATACTGGGCAAGGCTCGGGGCTGTCACGTGTCTCTCTCCCTGTGTCTTGTGCTCCCGAAGTTCAAGCCCCCATTTCTCTGAGGCTTGCCCTGAATGCCAGATGAGGCGTCACAAGACTCGGGGTCTGCACCCTGGGCAAGCTAAGTGACAGCAGATGACCTTACAACGTCCACTTCTTCCCTGTGCTCACAGATGCCTCCAAACACGGCACCTGGGGAAGTGGGTGGGAAGCCACACAAGGCGGGTACCTCTGCCCACTATTGCCCTCCCCACCATCCCCCCAGCTGGCACCTGGAGGGAGTGAGCTGCACTTGGGTGGCAGAGCCCCAGGGAGGAGGCGGTGCCACGCTCCTGGCTGCACTAGGTGCCACCCACAGGCTGCTCACCACAAAGGGGCCCGCGGGAGTTTTCCCCTACACCACCCCAGCCCCACGCTGGCATTTGCAGCCCTGTAGAGCCGGCTCCTGCCGGGGCTCTGTGGCAGCTGCAGTCCTCTGGGGTACAGGGGACACTGTGGGCCTGAAGACTAGGCAGCCAACAAGCCTTGGACTGTTCTCCCATCTGACCTAGAGATAGTCTCCAGGGAAGCCAGAGTCACTGTCCCTGTCCACATGCTGTTCACAGCATTTATTGAACACCTACTGACATTGGGCATTGAAACCCAGACAAGAGCCTACAGGCTAGAGTTCACACTACAAATAAGAAAACTGAAGCTCAGAATAGTCCTGAGAGACACAGCCAAGATCACATAGCTGGATAAAGATCTAGATACTTTCTGGAAACTTCTTTTAAGCCTCTTTCTAACCCTGAGTGGGGTCCTTCCTGGGCTTCCCTATCTGTGAAATGGGCACCATATTGCTCATGCAGTACTTCAAGGGCAGGCGCCACCATGCCACCCCAAGGGCTGTGCCACCAGCAGCTACCCCAACTGACATGATCCCTGTCTTCAATGGAAGATCACGCGTGTTTCGCCCAGACCCACCCAAGCGTGAGGCATCCTTCCTGCAGGGCCGTAGCTATCACACCTGAGCATCCTGTAGGTTCTTCTGCTGGAATCCCTCAGCACGGAGCAGGTGGCATCTCATGGTCCTCCCTGGGTGAGCTGCAGAACTCAGCTCCTGTCCAAAGCCTCACACAGTCTCCCTGCTTTCCACATGGCAGCCACAGAAAGCAGAGGAGGGGCCTGGATACTTGATGCAGAATGGGCCCACTCACTGCATTGACTCCCTAGCCTCTGCTCCTGTCTACATGGGTCCCTGTGCCCCCACCCCACAGCCCAGAGCTAGGATGCTCATCCATACACACAGGCTGTGTGGGCTGTCTGGCCTGGACTTGGGTTGGTTGGTGGGTGACCTGGCCCCCAGCCCACAGGCCCAGAGACACCCTTACCTACTCGGAGCTCTTGCCCGAAGACGGTCTTCTCGCCCAGGGCGGAGCAGTTCCAGCGGCCGAATCGGAACTGGTGCTGGCATTCATTGATGCCCATCTGCGCCCCCTCCCCGATCACAATGATGGCATCGGGTCGGCTCTGGCAGATGGCACGCTGCCGTGGGGCCAGGCCAGGAATCTTGTTGCAGATGATGTTGGCTCCCAGGGCCACCACGGACGACAGTGCTCTGTGGAGGCAGAGAGAAGATGGGGGTTGAGAACCCCTCAGGTAGTCTGCTGTCCCCCACTGGCACCCAACACTCCCTCCGCTGAACCCCACCAGCCCTGGAAGTGTTAGAACCACAGACCCACCTGGGATCTGACAGCCTTGGCACAGTCCCCGGTGGTTTTGGAGAGGCACTCCCAACTCCCAGACCACTGGGCTTTCCTATCTCCTCCTTCTGAGCCCGAAGAAGGCAACCTCCAGCTCCTACCTGTGTGTGACCTTGAGGAGACACTCTGAGCCTAAGCCTCACATTCAGAGAATGGGTGTAAACACCTGCTGACCCCAGCATGCAAACAGACACACCTGAAATAGGGCCTCCCCCCACTTCTACATGAGGGGGTGCGCTGGGAACAGACAGGATCTGACAGGAGGTAAGCACCTACTGTGTGCTGGGCTGGGCTCAGAGCCTATGGCTGCCTTTGTAATGACTCCTGGCAACTCCCAAGGAGGAAGCCTCTTGCCAAGTTCACTGTGAGCTTGGAGTATTATCAACACAGTTGTTTGTTTTTGTAATGAGGGGAAATTCACATAACATAACATTAACCATTTAAAAATGTACAGCCCCGTGGCCTTTAGCACACACATGGTATTGTACAACCTCCGCCTCTATCAAGTTCCAAGCTTTTCTCAGCATCCCCAAAGGAAACTCTGTACCCACGAGCAGACACTCCCAGCCCCTCCTCTCCCAGCCCCCGGCAGCCACTAATCTGTCTCTGTTCCCACGGGGCTGCCGCTCGCTCGGACAGTCTGTGGAATCTTACAATACATGTGGTCTTTGGGGCCGGATTTCTTCCACTCAGTGAAATAAATGCTTTCAAAGTTTATCCGAGCCGCAGCACACATGGGTGCCTCGTTCCTTTTAAAGGCTGAATAATATTCCATCCGCACAAGGGGCCCTCACTGGCTGATCCACTCCCCATGGATAGATACCAGGCCCCACCTCTCAGCGGCGGCTGTGAAGGTGTACACGTCTGTCACTGTCTGAGTTTTCGATCTTTTGAGCACCTACTCCTGGGGATGGACTTCCTGGGTCATCTGGCGATTCTCTGACCTCCTGAAGAATCGCTAAAGGTTTGCCACAGCCATTTTACTGATCTTTTTGGTTCTAGGTACTCAGAGAAGGAGCATCAAGAGGAAGCAGAGAGCTACTATTTGGGTTAATGGTCAGGGCTCAGGCTCAGTTAGTGGTGATTTGTCCTTCCATGCACAAAGCCCAAGGCTAAAAATACAGTAACACATAAACTACATGTGGCGGCTCATGCCTGTGATCTCAGCACGCTGCAAGTGAAGGCAGGAGAATCAGGAGTTCAAGACCACTATCAGCTACTTTAAGTTTGGAGTCAGTCTGGGCAATAGGTGGCCCTGTCTCAAAAATGACAAAAAAGTCTCCGGCTTTAAAACAACAGTCTGAGCTGGGCAGTGGTGGCACAAATGCCTTTAATCCCAGCACTTGGGAGGCAGAGGCAGGCGGATCTCTGTGAGTTCAAGGCCAGCCTGGTCTACAGAGCAAGTTCCGGGATAGCCAGAGCTACTCACAGAAACGCTTTCTTGAAAAACCAAATGATGATGATGATGATAAAAACAGAGTGGGAGCAATGGTGAAGAGGAATTCCCAGGGGTCCCCAAAGTTGACAACTAGGCCCTAGGCCCTTGGAAAAATGGGGGCCCTTCTCTGCCCACTGCCTGTTTGTTGAGAACTCTGTGTTTTTCCAGGCTACCACACTCCCCAGGCAGCTGGGCAGTCCCCATGTGGCCTGAGTCCCCAGCATGTGCCGCAACCTCGGTGACACTCAATCTCTGTGACCCGCCCACCTGCTCTACCTGTTAATCTGGCCAAGAGCCCCCCCTGGGTCTCCTGTGACACAATGGGGTGAACACGCCCCAGGCTGGCGTTGAGGAAGGGCATCTGGGCGGGTGGAACTGGGAGCGGGCTGGAATCTGGGGAATCTAGCCCAAAGTAACTGTAGAATCCTCGGAAACCTAGCCAGGGAAACGAGATGGATGAGAACTCCACCGGGCACCACCACGGCAAAGCAGTCACTTTGGGACCAGACCTCAAGGGCGCTCCTTGATCCCAAATTCCTCCAATAGGCTTGGATCTCAAAGCCTCAACTGCCTACCCACGTCAACAGGCTAAGCCGTGGGGACTTTAAGGGGACACAGGGTGAACTATGGGAAGCAAGAAACCATTGCAGTGGCCCCAGGCCTACTTTCTCACCTACAGGCAGCTCCCTTGTCCACCCAGATCTGACCTTGCCACTCCCCCTGATCAATATTCATCCGTAGCTCCCCATTGCCTCTGCCTAAAAATATAAGCCTAGGGGCTCGCTCTGATGATCGCTCCCTTCTGCCTCTGCTGTCCACCTTGACTGTGTCCACATATCCCTCTTTTAGCATGCTGTCCTTCCTCTCTGGCTCCACCTGGAAAACTGCTTCTCCCTTCCACAAGCCCTGGCATTGAGGAGGGGAACAGTGGGCACGTGTTCTGAGAGTCTAAATGCCAGTCCTGCTTGCCCCGATGTTACTGTTTTTATGCCACCTCCAAGAGGAAGGTGCCTCAAGAACAGTGCCAAGTCCCAGTTGAATTTGGGGCCCAAGAGTGACCTGCTGAGGAAGGGCCCTCTTCAGCTCCCATAGGATGCCTGAGTAAATGAACAAGTAGACTAGATGCCTGAGAAGCATACAGGAAACCACTATTGGAATTCAGCAGCCAGACAACAACCCCGTTTTGCAAAGGATTTGACGTGTTCCCACAGAGACACAGGAGAAGCAAGCAGCATATACAGGGAGATGTGACCTCGCCCATCCTTCCAGGAATGCGAAACACTGCACACCCACCAGGATCCCTGTGAGCAAAACTGAGAGGCTGCAAAGCACCAATTGCAGATGAGGAGGTAGAGGAGCAGGGTCCTCCTGCCGCACCACAGTCGCTGTGGGCAGCAATCTGGCAGAAAGTTAAAAGTCACACACAAAGCTGCCCGGAAATTCCATGTTTTGGCATAGATCCAAAAGAATTGAAGACAGGTGTTGAAACAAAACCTTCTGTATACATGCTCCCAGCAACACTATTCACAGTAGCCAAAGGATGGAAATAACTCAATTCTCCATCGACGACTGAGTGGCTGAAAACAAAATGTGGTATGCCCATGCCATGGAATATTATTCAGCCATAAAAAGGAATGCCCCAGTATGGGAAAAGTTCAAAAAACATTATGCCATGAGAAAGAAGGCAGACATGGAATCCCAGGTGTCACCTGAGTCCATTTAAAGGTAATGTCTAGAATGGGTAAACCCACAGAGACAGAAAACAGGGGAGGGGGAGGGGACAGAGTCTGCCTGCTGAGTAATTGTGGAATTCCCATCTGGGTGATTGGAGCTATGTAGACTGGTGGTCGTGGGGCTATGAAAACACGAAATGTCATCGTTCTGTGCTTTAAAATGGACAGAGCAATAAATCTCATTTGCTGGGTCTCTCAATGTTTTTTTTTTTTAAAACAACCTGCAATTCCCAGGACTCTACAGACTTCAATACAAAGGACCCACCGGAAGTCGGCTTTCACCAAATGTGGGTGTTGGAGCTGTCAGGACGAGAATTCCAGCCCCTCAACCCAGTTTCTGCCCACACACTATTACCAGTGTATGCATCATAGGCTCTCGGGAGCACAGCCTAAGTGACCAGGTACCATCACAATTTGAAGAGGACATCAAACTTGTCTTCCTTTGTGCTAGTCGGAGTCCCACTGACAGTACCCAACACTCTCCTGAGGCTAGCCTCTGTGGAGTCTCCCTCACCCCAACCCTGCAAGGACTCTGCTTGGCAGGGGTGGGGACGAGTGCTCAGGGAGCACTGGGAGGCCTCCAGTCCCACTCGGAGTCAGCACTCCTCTTTCAGGGCTCAGGGGTGGAGGCTGAACTGTGCATTGGGAAACCATGTAGACTTGGTGAACCAGAGAGTGGGGCTGGGGACCAGGCCTCCTTCCTTTCTTTTTCCAAAGATATTATTATTTATTTAGTGCTTGTATGTGTGTGGGTGTGCCACAGAACATGTGTGGAAATCACAGGGCAATTCACGAGAGTCCTTTCTCTCTTTTCACCATACGGGTCCTGAGGACCCAACTCGTGTCAGGTTTGGTGAAGCATCATTATCCGCTGAGTCATCTCTTCCATCTTTTTACAGGGCAGGGGGACAGGGTCTCACCCTGTAACCCATGTTGACCTTGAATTCACTCTATAATCCCACCCTGGCCCCTTTACTTGGGGTCATAGGAGACTGCCACCCTATTGGCCTACCCCAGTTTGGGGTTTATTATCAAAGCCCAATCTGAGCTGCCTTCTTGCTGAAAAAGCCCTCATTCATTCATCTGTGCTTGTAGTGTAGAGATCTGGTTGCAATTTTCCATACCCTAGCCCCTGGCCCCTGGCACTGACTGATCAGATCCCAGGCTCCTAGTGCAGGTTAGACCCTGGCCGATCCAAATCTTTGGGACAGGGTAGGGGGCTGCAGGCAGAGCCCATGAGTGAGAAACCATGGCTGAAATTCTAAAGACGAAGTAACCTGTGCCAGCAGGAGACTGGTGGCGTGTGGGGCCTTGCCGAGGATATTGGCAGTGGGATGCGAGCTTGCCTGGCATCCTCAGCAGGCCACCCTGCAGGTGGGCCCCGGCTCTCATCCCACATTGGGAAAACCCTCTTTTCAGCCAGCAGCTGCCTGCTCAGGTGTCCAAGTGACCAGACCAGGGTGGCCTGTGAGCAGAGAAGCCTGTGGCAGGGGTTGTGTGCCTGCGTGGTTGACTTTTTCCGTGGAACTATTCTGTTCTGGGCTTGTCCCTCAAACGGCTCATGGGCCTTAGGACATGGGCGAAGTGCCAGGAACAGTGGGCCACACTGTGAGCCTACAAACCTTCCTCACCTCTGGCCTGGATCAGGCTCCTAGCAACAGCTCAGAGGAGCTGTAGACAAGAC